TTGCTTTATTTATAGCACTTAGATTTAGACAGACCTTACTGTCATTTTATACACAGAGTGTATACAAAATGTATATGTAGAATAAATAAATAGATACGGTGCAAAAACAATTAGGAACTCAGTGAGGCCTCCTCCTGTCTTTGCAGACCTTCTACAGTCAAGTATCCTCTCCACTCCTGAAGGAAGTCGCCATCCATTTCACAGAGGGCACTGTGACCGATGTCACCCAGACCTACTTTGATAAGTACTTCGGGGGCTCAGAGCTGGTGGTGGCCGGAAAGGTGCAGCTGTCAGAGAGCACGACGCTAACCAGCTTTACCACGGCAGCAGCTGTAAGACCAAGACATAGGGAACAGCATCTCAGCTGAGGACCATGGAGCTTTGGTGTTGGTATCTAATGTCTCCTCTTGTCCCACAGGCCAGCGGGGACCTTACTTTACATACAGACACTGATGTTTTAGAGCTGGACACACAGCTGACCATGCAGCAGCATTCATTCACTGGATTTGCTAGACAGATGTGGGCTTACCTGACCATCAAACAGCTGATCAGGGAAAGGTAAGAAACTGGGGGAAAAGATCACACCATACCTAAGGAGCTACACCAAACCCTATTTCATGTCCAAACCTTTTATTTTTTCATTCAGTAAATCCAGACACTTCTTACTTTCTCTCTTACTAGGCCAGATTTATATAGATTAGGTATATGTACATCATCTGTGCTTTTCATAGATTGTCCATATCAAACACCATGTTAGAGCATAAGGGTCCATTTGTGCTTTTGGCACCAGGACGCCCTAGTCCATAGTTCAATGATCAACGTTGTTATTGAACATTGGGACCACATTTCTAGAACACTCTGAAAAGTTAAGCTGTAGCTGCTCACCAACCACTCCCTAAGGCTGAGTTGATGGTCGTCAGAGGGGGTTGAGGCCAGTCAGACCTGTAAAGGTCTGCTATGAACATCTGACAGAGTCTCCAGTAGACTGCTGTCGGTGAGTAATGCCGTCAGAATGAATAAGGAGTCTCATCGGGCCTATCTGGCCTGTGGGACACTGGAACCAGCTGTTGAGTCTCGGCACTCTAAGCAGAATGCTGCTCGGGTGGTTCTGGTGCCTCATCAAAAGTCTCAGAAGAGGGTAGCAGTGCAGCACTAACACTCTTTATAGTGGGAATTGTGTGCTCCTGACAGTGTGAAATTGTGAATCCAAGGGCAGGACACAGAAGACCCCTTATATAACGCCAATTCACAACACGTCATCTCAAAGCACTTCACAGTTCACCAGATCATCCGGTCAAATTGATACAAAGTTTTCTATCCAAGGAAAAGCAGTTAATTGCATTGGCTCATTTACTTAAAAGCAATCCCTCACACTAGCATGCTTGAGCATGAAGTAACCTCCAGCAGAACCAGACTCAGTGTGAGCGGCCATCTGCTGAGGCCCACTGGGGTTCAAGGAGACAGAAGCAGACATAGAAAAAGAAGCATAGATACAAAACGCAAATGAAAACAAGCTCCACAGGCGGCCCCGTCCAGGAAACACACAGCCAGGCAGACGAGCTCCAAGCCAGCTCCTATGTTGGATGATGAATGAGAGCACATCCAGTTAGTCACAGAGAAACAGGACTACACTGGAAAACAGGCCAACTTCCAACATCTATAAACAATGGTGTTGATGGCAGCAGCACAGCTGATATTTCTCTCCAGGATGGAGTCACAGCCAAACAGGAACAGACCAGAAGAAGCTACTATGAAAAAAAGCAGAGAGAGCAGAACGTTAGAGATTGAACTAATAGATTCTGCATGCAATAGAGATAGAATGAAGCAGAATGATGGGCTGCTCAGTGGTGCAGTGAGTAGCACTGTTGTCTTTCAGGAAGAAGGTTCCAGGTTTGATTCATAGCCCGGGGTTTTTCTGCATGGAGTTTGCATGTTCCGCCTGAGCATGCATGGGTTCTCTCCGGGTACTCCGGCTTCTTCCCACAGTCCAAAAACATGACAGTTAGGTTAATTGTCTTCTCAAAGTTGTCCTTAGACGTGAGTGTGTGCGTGAATGTTTTTTTTGTCCTGTTTGTCTCTGCGTTGCCCTACAATGGACTGGTGACCTGTCCAGGGTGGACCAGCTCCAGTCGTGACCCCAACTGGGATTAAACGTGACATAAAATGGATGAATGGATGAAGCAGAATGATGAAAAGGTGGTTCCAATGCCCTCCAGCAGTCTAAGCCTATAGCAGCATAACTATAGAGATAGCTCAGGATAACCTGAGCCACTCTAACTA